TACAACATGAAAAGAAAATATTTTTTTTGTTGAAATAAAAGAAAATACTTTTTCTACAACAAGAAAAGAAAGTACTCATTTTGTGAAAAAGAAAATATGTTTTCTACGTCATGAAAAATAAATTACTCTTTTTGTTGAAACAAAAGAAAATACTTTTTACATCATGAAAATAAATTACTCTTTTTATTGAAACAAAAGAAAATACTTTTTCTACATCATGAAAAGAAAGTATTCTTTTTGTTGAAAGAAAAGAAAATATTTTTTCTACATCATGAAAAGAAAGTACTCTTTGTTGAAATAAAAGAATTTTTTTTTTCTACAACATGAAAAGAAAGTACTTATTCTAGGAAAAAGAAAATACTTATTCTATATCATGAAAAGAAAGTACTTATTTTATTGAAATGAACGAAAATACTTTTTCTACATCATAAAAAGAAAATTTTCATTTGGTCGAAATGAAAAAGAAAATATTCTATCTACAACGTTAAAAGAAAATAATATTGTGAAAAAGAAAATATTTTTTCTATATCATAAAAAGAAAGTACTCTTTTTATTGAAACAAAAAAAAATACTTTTTCTACAACATGAAAAGAAAGTACTCATTTTGTGAAAAAGAAAATATATTTTCTACATTATGAAAAAAAGTACTTATTTTATTGAAATGAAAGAACTTTCTACATCATAAAAAGAAAGTATTCATTTTGTTGAAATGAAAAAAAAAATATTATATCTACAACATCAAAAAAAAGTACTCTATATAATATTTCTATTTAGGGTAGGTTGGGGGTAGNAAAAAAGTACTCTATATAATATTTCTATTTGGGGTGGGGTGGAAGGTCTAGTTTTACTACTTTTTTATTATTATGATCTTTGTTAGTATTATAAGATGAAGAACTATCAAATAAAATTTTAAATCCAAATTGAGGAAGAAATCATTTGGCATGAATTAATATCTATTCCAAAACATAAATTAATTTTTATATATGTTTATCTTAAAGGTTGAGAATATTGCAAAGATTTGGGTCAATTTGGGTGAGTTGAGTTACAACCCGCTGTTTAGTTCATCTTAACACAACTCATCTTAACCCAAGTAAATTTTGGACGGAGTTGGATAATGACTCATTTAATGAGGCAACCCATCTTGACCAGCCCAAATACATCCCATTTGCCACCAAAAGAATTCAGAGAAGGGATTTTGTGAACAATAATTCTGAACGAGATGAAAAGAAAAAAAAGTGAAAGAAAAGAACAAAAGAGCGAAAAAGGTAAAAATTAAATGGTACCTAACGTAACACAATTATAGAGAGAGTGTAAAGAAGTTTCCACCAATGCAACTGGTATATACGTTGTAGGGGGTATTAATTCATTTGTAGTTGTTAACCCCTCTTTTTACTCATGGCAGTGACCAGCTAAAGGTATAATATTAACTCTCACACCGGATATTTATACTAAACAAATTTAATAAATTATGATTATTTTAAATTAAATATATATATTACTTAATCATGATTAAATGATAATTGTGTATATTCAAACATATATTATGCATTTATGATTAGGTGTAAACATCCAATCCGGTGCGAGTAACTTTTCTTAGGGCGGTTTGGTTTCATATATAAGGCAAGATATTGCTTGTGTTAGGATCGGGAAGCTGGGTAGTGCAAAATTTAGCCAAACAACGGTATAATGACAATAACAAAGACAATGGAAGGTGATAATAACGGCAATTAAAGAATATAAAGAAGACACAAATTTAACGTAGTTCGGTCAAGGTGACCTACGTCCACAAGGGGAGAGGAGCAATTTCACTACACTAACAAGAGTACAAAAGAGAGTACAAAATTAGAGTAAATACTCTAATTAATCCCAAATACCCCAAGAGAATAACCTCACAAGATCACTCTAAAGAAAGGGTTCACACAAGTGTTTCCCAATACTCACTCTCTTACAAAATACTCTATAATGAAATAAAGGAGGAGAAAGAAAGACAAGAGTGAAAAGCTCTTGAATTGGTGTGTTTGTAAATGAGGAGAAACTCCTCTATTTATAGCAAGAAATCCTTGGCCTAATAATGGATATTATGTCATGGCAAATGTCATGATCCACAAATTTGTTATAATGGATATTATGTCATGGCAAATGTCATGAACCACAAATTTATTATAATGGATATTATATCATGGCAAATATCATGAAAATTTGTCCATATTACAGCTTGCATAAAATCCGGCATTAGTTATCCATGAGATAAGCAAGCGGATAGCTTCGGTAAATACATAGTGGAACTAAATATTGGAGAGCAATAGATCAGCTAACAAGAAAATAAAATAAAAGACTTTTATTTATTTATGATACATTATAAACTTATTTACCTCTTTAAAAAGGTTATCACTTAATTATATTTTCATATATATAATTACTAATTGTATACAAAGTAATGTATTAGGCTTCACTATTTCCATTTTCTCTCCCTCTTCTTCCTCCCCCATTGCATCAGAACGATAAATGAATTGTTGTTCGTCTGAGAAGTTGCGAGCATTTTGGAGCTTTGAAGCTCAAATAGCTGGGTTTATTTGAAGTCGAAATAATGGAACAAATTGTAAAGAAAAAAACTGCAAGTATTGTATTAAGTTACAGAAACAGTGAAATGAGATTGTTCTGTGACAATTTTTTGTTGAAGTATTATAAGATATTAACAAATATGCGTATTTTTCTTAGGTGATGCTAGTTAGCTTTTGGTGAATGGAACGCTTTTCCCAGCAAATGTTGTGGTTGGTAAGATAGGATCCCCGCCTTTAAATAAAAGTATATTTTTTTCACTCTATAGGGAGCGCTAGCTTCCTCTTTTAACAGGCTATACACAAATTTAAATTAGTTTGGATCTAATGCGGATACTAGTGGGAGTAGCAAAACGGGAGTGTCGGGTCGAAAATAAATTAGATGAAAATGAATAAAATATATGATCTGCTCATATTTGATACGGATAAAAAATAAGTTGAACAATAATGAATAATATGGGTATCCAAATTACAATAACAACAACAACAAACTCAGTGTAATTTTACAAGTGAAATCTGGAAAGGCTAGTGTGTATGCAGCCTTACTCCTACCTTAAAAAGGTAGAGAGACTATTTTCGGGTATTCATATTATCCATAAAAATTAAATAGAAAATTTCACCTCCTATAGCAAAGGTATACACCCTATTAATTATAAACCAAAATTATTTTAAAATATTATTTTCTATAGCTACCTTTTATATTTTATAGCAAAATAAATATTTTATGGTATATACTACCATTGAGGCATAAAATATGCTATTTATGTTTTTCCTCTCTCTTAGACAGCTGGACATACCTATTTTTAAGGGATTGTCGTTACTGTATTCATGAATACATGGCGCGAATACATGTGAATACATGCGCATACAATTATATTTATAAATACATCAGTGCGAATACATGTGAATACATGCGCGCGTACAGCTGGACTGCCCTGATTTCAGGCGCTTTTTGCTGATATATTCATGAATACATGGCGCGAATACATGTGAATACATGCGCGTACAGCTGGACTGCCCTGATTTCAGGCGCTTTTTGCTGATATATTCATGAATACATGGCGCGAATACATGTGAATACATGCGCGTACAGCTGGACTGCCCTGATTTTAGGTGCTTTTTACTGTTGTATTCATGAATACAGCGGCGCGAATACATGTGAATACATGCACGTACAACTAGACTGCCCTGATTTTAGGCACTTTTTACTGTTGTATTCATGAATACATGTCGCGAATACATGTGAATACATGCACGTACAACTGGACTGCCATAATTTTAGGCCTTTTTGCTGATGTATTCATGAATACATGGCGCGAATACATATGAATACATGCGCGTACAGTTGGACTGCCTTGATTTTAGGCGCTTTTTACCGCTGTATTCATGAATACAATAGGGCGAATACATGCACGTACAACTGGACTGCCCTAATTTTAGACACTTTTTACTATTGTGTTCATGCATACATGGCGCGAATACATGTGAATACATGCGCATACAGCAGGACTGCCCTGATTTTAGGCGTTTTTTGCTGCTGTATTCATGAATACAACAACGCGAATATACTACCATAATAATTGAATAGTAATTATATGAAATTATTATGTATATAATAGCTATAAGAAGTTAATAGACTAAACAATAGTGATTTCTGAAAATTACTCCATGCGACCTTATTTAGCTTCATTTTGATACTTCTTTGCCATCTCTAGCTTAAGTCAATTCCATGCTTAAGTCAGCATGTATTATGTTACTCAAAAATCTATAGTTACTCAAAGATAGTGTCTCACCTCATTCAATATTATTTCAAGACAGAAAGAAATAGATTTTGTGGTTTAAAATGAGCGATAGTTATTTCATGGCTATAAACTATTTTATTAAGGATAAAATAAGTATTTTAAAGTTAAATTGTTGCTACTAATTATAAAAAAATATTATATTTTTAGGACTGACTAAAAAAGAAAAAGTATCACGTAAATTGAAATGGAAAGAGTATCACTTTTGCAACTGAACTTTAAACAAAATAAAATAATAGTTGATTTTCACTGAGTTCTCAGAGCAAAACTCAAGAACAAATTATATATAAGTCGGAAGGAATGGCATTCGCTCGTCCTCCTTAATGCTACCTGAGTTTAATTGGTTGAGGATTTTATCCATTTTTACCCATAATTTATCTATTTTTAAAGCAGATAATATGAATAATATCTATATTTGACTCAATTCTAAAAGATTGATTATCTAACTTAACTTTTAGTATATTTTATTCATAGTGAGGTGCTTTGCTGAAGAAGGTGGAAGTCCAATGTTTAATAAAAGGGGAAGGGGAAGAGGTCAATGTGACAACTAAACAACTCAAGGGGGGTAAAGTGTATAGATAGAAAATAAGAGGACAGGTAGTTTTGATTTTGTGTGACCTTTTCAAAACCCGACAAAAAAACCGAGGTAGACTTTCCGGTATAGCCCAATCAGTCCCGATTCTTCATTCTCTCAGAACTCCTTGGAATATTTCTCTAATTCGATACTTATCCCCAATTTTTACTGTAGTCAACTCAACAGCTCCAATTGAGGCAGAGAAAGAGATAGAAAAATGGCGATACTGTATGCGGTTGTGGCGAGAGGCACAACGGTGCTGGCGGAGTTCAGTGCGGTGACAGGGAACACAGGGGCGGTGGCGCGAAGAATATTGGAGAAGCTTCCAGGTGAAACGGAATCGAGGCTTTGTTTCTCTCAGGATCGATACATCTTCCACATACTCCGATCTGCTGGATTCAGCTTCCTTTGTATGGCCAACGACACCTTCGGAAGTCAGTATAAAATTCCATCTCTTTTCTAAATTTTTCGTAAAGCTTCCGTTTTGATCAATTTACTACTCCAATTGTAAAGTTAATCTGAATTATAGAGCTAAGAACACAATAAAACTTGTTCTCCCGTTCGGTCTTTTACCTTTAAACATCAGCTCGCAAGATTAACGGAATGGAGATAGGCACCCAAGGGTGTGACCTGGTGGTCAATAAAGTGAGAGGAGAACCATGAGGTCTTGGATCAAATCCTAGCTGAGACAAAAAATACTAGTTGATTTCTTTCCATCCGTCTAAGCCTTATTGGCAGAGTTGTCGTTACTTGTGCATGTGGGAGGTAGTAGGTACCCACTGGAATAGTCGAGGTACGCGGAAATTGGCCTTGATACGGCCATCATAAAAAGAAAAATAACTGAATGGAGATAGGTTTAGGTTTTCAAAAGCTGAGTGTTTGGTTTTGGTGCTCTTTGTAGTTCAATGTCAGAATGACCAAGTTTTATGGCGTCAATGCCAAATAGAAGCTAATTAGTCGACTTCTCATATTCTGATTGGGCCAAAATACACACTTGATCATCCTATTTCTATTTTGCAAATTTCACAGTGACCTTCTTACTTTCCTAGCTCCATCTTTTAACACTTCAAGACAAAAGTATTGTTGGCATCGAAGAATTTATGAATTGATATTGTCTGGATCTTTTGCTAATAATTGAAAATTCTGTTGGTCATATGAGTCATTCTTCACTGTCTGTTACTAATGGTACATGCTTACTTAGGGAGGATTCCTTTCTCATACCTGGAGGATATTCAGATGAGGTTCATGAAGAACTACAGCAAGGTGGCTTCTTATGCTCCTGCCTATGCCATGAATGATGAATTCTCAAGGGTCTTACATCAGCAAATGGAGTTCTTTTCAAGTAATCCAAGTGCAGATACACTAAATCGTGTCAGAGGAGAAGTTGGTGAGGCAAGTATCTCTTCTGTTTACCTGCACCAGAGTGTAGTGAAGTTTAAGGGTTCTCTGTGTCAGCTTCATTTGTTCTTCTTATTTGTGCTTTAGGTTTTGTGCCAATGAATGCATGCATTAAACTGTCCAGATATCCACATATTTTTGAATTATCAAAGATTCATATTCATGAGCACTTAAATGACTTAACATATTTTTTGAAGTGTTAAACTCTCTTCTTTTTTTGAAATGATTGAAGTGTTAAAACTCTCAACCGTTAGTGATGATTTTTCAATGGTCAGTCATGCCAAAATAACTACTCCTTTCTTTGTCTTGTTACTTTGATGTTTGAATGCCTTCGGTTCAAGTTATGATCTTGTACCTCCATTTCATAAAAGTCAAGAAGAAATTAGTGATCCTAATGTCTCATGCTAAGCCAAACACTCACCTACCTTTGTGAACTGCATACCATTTATGACCACTTGATTTTTGCTGTATTAACTAAAAAAAGGAAAGAAATATTACACCTCATATATAGCATTAGTTATATGATTATGGATGTATTGCATCATTTACATGTGTTCTGTTCCCCTTTTGGCTGAAGAATTATAGTGTATTTACATCGTGATATGCCACTGCTGCCTCCTCCTTTCCACATCCCCCTTCTCTTCCCCCAGCCCTTCCTTCCATGTAGTCCAACTATTCTAAAAGTAAAATAAACTACTTCAATGTACATCCAGATACGCACCATCATGGTTGATAATATTGAGAAAATACTTGAAAGAGGGGATCGGATTGAGCTCCTCGTTGACAAAACAGCAACGATGCAAGACAGTGCATTTCATTTCAGGAAACAGTCAAAGCGCCTTAGGAGAGCTCTTTGGATGAAAAATGCAAAGCTCCTGTAAGTCTCTTTCACAAAATTATAGATTTTGTCGCATCAACTGAGAGTACTCACACTCTTACTGTGACTTATGTCAAGCTCAGAACATCATAAATGCAATTACATATACCATGACAATACTTGCTCTACTAAATGCCAGCTTTCTCTGCTATTAATGCCTTGACATCAGTGTTAAAGGTGTGCTTGAATTGCGGTTAAGCTCTAAATCTAGTTGCAGTGCAAACTGGCGTTGTGCCTCTCTTAGGTGACATTTCAGTGTATACACCGAGGCGCTAAGGCATGCTCAGCAACCATGGGTTCTGTCTTTAAAAGTTCTCTACTAAACAATAAGAATATATAATTGGTAAAGCAATTTTATAATCGTTAACAACACACATGGATGTATTTAGGAAAAAGAGATATAGTCTAAGAAAATGGATTAATACTCTTTATGTTCTAGTATTTTATATGACACTCTTTCCTTTTCAGTCTTATTCCAAAAAAGAATGACGTATTTCTATATTTGGAAACTTTAACTTTAAAACTTATGTTTTACCCTTAGTATGTTAACATAGAGGTATATATTCTCCGCTGTCACAGAAAATGCTTAATGTACTATTGCGAGTGGATGTGCGTAGTTGGGCAAACAGCATATGTATCACTGGTAGCAAACAACACCTAAATTAGCATTTAATTGCCCCCACCCCCCTCTCTCTCTCTGGGGTTTTTTTTGGGGGTGGGGTGGGGTGGGTGGGTTCTTGAGTCAGGTTGTATTACAACATACTGGCTTCATTATTGATTCATTTAGCCCTTGGTCTAGGCTTGTGCTCTTCCCATTTTTCACATATCTATTTGTTTGATGAGCATGCTTTGAGAACTGTTACATCTAATCTAGTAACTCTTGTTACTTCACTATATGCAAAAGGTGGCATTTCTTGTCTAAGTAGGTCCTTAATTTGAAGTTTATATTCTGTCAATTTGAGCTTTGTAACTTCTACTCATGACAGGGCGTTGTTAACATGCCTGATTGTGCTGTTCCTTTACTTGATAATTGCTGCTTGTTGTGGAGGCATCACTCTACCTTCCTGCAGATCATGAATTCTTTGGTAAGGAACACCATAGCTGCCTGTAGTATGGTTCAGATTTTCAAATGGATTTAGATAAGAACTATAAATCACTCTGAAAGGTTCTTGTATAATCAACCCTGTTAATTCTCATTCTGGCACCTTTCAGAGTACAGGTTAAAAGAATGATAAGGTTTGTATTGTTGTTGCCTTTTTTGCCTCTACCATGTTGTAAATGCTCCAGTAAACTCCTAGATTGTTCTAAAGCATTGGATCTTCCATATTATGTATTTGTAGATATTTGATAAGTTCAATGCCCTGTTTGTAAATGTAACGTTCTTCTGTGACTTCATCACCTTCAAATATTTACCATGTCAATTCACCTTTTTCAAATATGTGGTGGTTGAGGGTTTGTATCGGTGAGTAAATAGTAAATACTGCATAGCAGTAATTCTAGTTTGTGGGAAGAGTTCTAGTGCCTAGGAAGTACATGACCCTTCAGTGACGAGTATATCATACGAGAATTGGATATTTGTAAAATCCAAGTTTTTGGATCACCCTTTCTCAAAGATAAAAATCATTACAATCAAACTTCTTTATAACAACAACATTGTTTGTTACGATATTTTATGGTTGTTACAGTGAATGATTGTTATAAACCTATAATAGCATTTGACATTTAAATATTTTTTGGCTGCTATAAATAAAAACTATCAAAAATTGATTTTTCTTGTTACATATAAAAGATAAGATATTTAAATTTAAATATTCAAAAGATATGCATAATTTATTAATCAAATACTAAAGAAAGTTAATACATTATTAATAAATTCATAACTACAAAGATTTAATCTCTAATACGCATATTTTAAAGCTACTAGAAAATTAAATTCTTTCAGGATTGATGGAAGAACTCTATAATTGTAGCTTGTTCCATAGATTCAATCTCTTAATTGACGAAGATTTTCAACAAATCAAAATGCTCGTTTAGGCCATATAGCTCATATCATTTGGCTCTCTAACTTTGCCACGCGGTGATTAGATCTGGGTTGAAGAAGGTCATATGGGCCCCAGTTATGCTTAATAATAGCACAAATTTTCTTGCCGTCCATGCACTGACTACAAGACAAATCCACTGTCTGTTAGTGCTTTCAGCTTTGTAATGTAAGAGGAAGTTCGGTAACGAACCACCCAAAAATATTTTCTATTTGTGGCATAGCACTATTATTCGAGGTCGTTGTAAGCTTCACTCATTTTCTAGTAGACGAGCTCAATTAATTCTACAAGGTACTTGCTATCGACGTTTTATCAGTGGATATTGTAATCAGCAAGAGTTTTGTTTCATACAAAATTATTACCTTAAGTTATTGGAAGTTTGCAATAGGAGAATGATTCATCTAAAGAGAAAGAAGCTATGTACAAATAGTTTCTATTATCTACTAAAAGGCTGGCTTAACATGAAATCTTATTTGGTAACTAGATCTTTACGTCATTTCGTTAGTTCAATTCGATTTGTTCAGCTTTCGTATTATAGTTCGGGTTTTTTTTTTGGGATTAGTTTTTCTGTTGGGCATGTAAAAAGAACTCCCTCAAAATTGTAGAAATAATTTGTCATGCTCTCTTCAATTCTTTTCTTTTTTTATTGTTATTATTAAAAGGGAGGGCAATACAAAGAAAATATGGAAGAGAGAGGTGAAGAGCAGGGACTGTTGAAAAATGCTTTTATTAACCTTATAGGAGTATAAAAGATTCTATTTGATTAGCTACTTTTCTTCATATTCTATTTTTGTTTTTAATTTTTGTTATATAAGCCAAAGTAGGTGCCCAAAAGCATCAATATATCCTATTGCTTAGTGATTCCTCTACTCTATTTCAATTTCACTAAGCTCCTCCTCCTTAAACTATATTTCCTCCCACTATAACTAGCCATTCTCCATCTTACCGTTTCTCTTAATGGAAACTCTTCTCAAACCTTTTCCATCTCCTTTACTTTCCACTCCTACACCTCACAGGTCTATTTTTCAACTGAATTCTCCTTTTCTGAATCCAACCACCCAGAACTTTTCAAGAAAAGTTCATCACAGAAACAAAAGTAGTAGTAAAATTTTTTGTAGCTTTCTTGACTTATCACCCACATCAAAACCAGAGTCTTTAGATGTTGAAATCTCATGGGTTGATCCTAATTTGGGCCGGGCTCTATTCGACGTGATCATCATCGGAGCTGGTCCTGCGGGCCTCCGGCTGGCTGAGCAAGTATCAAGATATGGTATTAAGGTATGTTGTGTTGACCCTTCACCACTTTCCATGTGGCCAAATAATTATGGTGTTTGGGTTGATGAGTTTGAGAAGTTAGGATTGGAAGATTGTTTAGATCATAAGTGGCCTATGACTTGTGTTCATATAAATGATAACAAGACTAAGTATTTGGGAAGACCATATGGTAGAGTCAGTAGAAAGAAGTTGAAGTTGAAATTGTTGAATAGTTGTGTTGAAAATGGAGTGAAGTTTTATAAAGCCAAGGTTTGGAAAGTGGAGCATGAAGAATTTGAGTCTTCAGTTATTTGTGATGATGGTAGGAAGATAAGGGGTAGTTTGATTGTAGATGCAAGTGGTTTTGCTAGTCCTTTTATAGAATATGACAAGCCAAGAAACCATGGTTATCAAATTGCTCATGGGATTTTAGCAGAAGTGGATAATCATCCATTTGATTTGGATAAAATGGTGCTTATGGATTGGAGGGATTCTCATTTGGGAAATGAGCCATATTTGAGGGTGAACAATACTAAAGAACCAACATTCTTGTATGCAATGCCATTTGATAGGAATTTGGTATTCTTGGAAGAGACCTCTTTGGTGAGTCGACCTGTGTTATCGTATAGGGAAGTGAAAAATAGGATGGTGGCAAGGTTAAGGCATTTGGGGATCAAAGTGAGAAGTGTTATTGAGGATGAGAAATGTGTGATCCCTATGGGAGGACCACTTCCGCGGATCCCTCAAAATGTTATGGCAATTGGTGGAAATTCAGGGATAGTTCATCCATCGACAGGGTACATGGTGGCTCGGACCATGGCTTTGGCACCAGTATTGGCTGAGGCCATTGCTGAAGGTCTTGGATCAACCAGAATGATAAGAGGGTGTCCACTTTACCATAGAGTTTGGAATGGTTTGTGGCCTTTGGAGAGAAGAAGTGTGAGAGAATGTTACTCTTTTGGGATGGAGACTTTGTTGAAGCTTGATTTGAAAGGGACTAGGAGATTGTTTGATGCTTTCTTTGATCTTGATCCTAAATACTGGCAAGGTTTCCTTTCCTCAAGGTTGTCTGTCAAAGAACTTGCTATACTCAGCTTGTACCTTTTTGGGCATGCCTCAAATTTGGCTAGGTTTGATATTGTTACAAAATGCCCTGTGCCCTTGGCTAGAATGATTGGTAATCTAGCAGTAGAGACCATTTGAATGTGAAAAGTTGGATAATTTTAATTTCTTAGATTATTTTCACCTTTTTTAAATGAGAAAAATGAAAGAGGTCTCTGACTTTCACTCTTGTCAAAAGTCTACCCGAAAAGTGAAAGAAGAAATGGAAGCTAATATTCCCTACGCATCAAGATTCAATATACTCCTATGTGATAAAAGATTGATTTTCGTGCTGATATGACTTTATACAAGACATCTTGCTAGGAAAATGGCATCGTAATCACTATCGGTCAAACTCGGACTAGTACACATACCCGATATCCTGTCAGAAAATTTTTTGGTCTAAAATTTATCACAAGACAAAAATTGAAACTTCATTAAAGCCCGTAGAAAAGAAACTAGGATATAACCACTGTTGAATGGATATAGCAAGTACCTAACGAAATTGTCGAGGTGTGTGCAAGCTTAACTCAGACACCACCACGACACCATTATACAAAAAAGTGACAACCGAAGAAACTAGTATTTATAGACGTGATGAAGTCTCTGTCTCGCATAAGTTTTAGAATCCATAAAAATAGGATAAACTGCATTTTTGTATGGCCTCAATCAATCTGGTTGTATAGCCAAGTTATCGATCAATACTGCATTTCAGATATGAAAGTATATAGGACAAAAGGTCAGAGGCAATATGTGATACCAAGTCTGCATTTAATTGGAAGGACTAGCTAATCGCTATAGTTTCCAAACACAATGAATTAACTGGATGATATCTTTACTACTTATAACAATAATAAACAGGAAAAGTATAAGTTTCATTAATCATTGACAAACAACTGGGAAGCAATCATGCCTTCACACTGCCAACAAACGAACTATTAGTAAACTTAAAATAATGTTCTTTTATTATAATGGAGTGGGTTGTGCAAGTCAAGTTCTCTAATAAAGGTTGGTTTATGAACTGCTCCAAAAGCCTCAACCCCAGACGCCTAAGGCCAGGCACCAGGGAAAAGAGCTGCTCCAGATATTTTGAGAATGTGTTGTGTGTATATGTAATTTAAAGGAAGGAATAGATAGGATGTACTCCTATAATGTAGCATCTACCAATTGAAAATATTTAGCATCCTTTCCATGGTAAAGTTATTAAAAATATATTTTTAGTGAGAAGGCGTTTGTGTTTGGCTAATTAATTTGAAAATATTTTTGAGCAGCAATTAGCATTTGGCCAACCTTTTAAAAGTGTTTCTAGGTGTTTGGTTAATCGTTTCAAAAAGTGCTTTTAAGAAGAAGTTATGTTGTTTCTAAAAAAATTATTTCTGTTTCTACTAAAAAATATTTTTTCTCTTACTAAAAACTTGGCCAAACATCTTAATATTAGAAAAAGCACTTTTGATCAAAAATGCACTTTTGGCTAAAAAGAAACTTGATCAAATAGGCTATAGCTTATTTTGAGAATTATTTTTTTTTTCAAAAGTGCTTTTCAAAAAAAATAATTTTAGTGAGAAGCAGTGTGTGTTTGGCTAATCAATTTGAAAAGCACTTTTGAGCAGTAATTAATGTTTGGCAAACTTTTAAAAAATACTTTTAAATGTATTTTCTCAAAAAATATTTTTCAAAAAAGTAATTTTAGAAAGAAACTATTTGTTAAAAACACTTTTTCTTATACTAAAAGTTTAGCAAAATACCTCAACTTTCAAAAAATAAAGTCCTTTTGACCTAAAGGAAGGAATGGATAGGATGTACTTTTGGCAAAATACTCATCTTATTCCATTTGTAGCTAATTTTGTATTTTACATTAACTTGATATTATTCCATACCATATTTTTATACGTTTTCTGGTTATCTCTCTTTAATATCACTTTGACATCCATAATTGTCAAGGTACTTCCCAACAGGTACTAACACTTGACAATTTACACTTGGCCTGTTGGCCAGCTGCAAATTATGAAAAGACCTTAAAGAAATTTAATCTCAAACTTTTGAAAAATCCTCATAAGTTTTCACACTAGTACTTTTATATGTATTTTCTCTGTTTAAAATTGAATTAGGTTTTGCTTTTCATATTCAATCAAGAAACGTACTTGAAAATTTCACAAGATGAAGAGTTCGAGTTGTAACAACTCCATATATTCTGTTTTTTTTTTTTAAGGAAAAAGTATTCTCAACAATTTCATCCAAACTAATCCATGTCCCCCCCACCACCAAAACCCCAACCCCTCTACACTGATATATGGAGTATATATTTCGGCCCTCCTCATAGTTCATTCATAACGCAAATAGCTGTAACTTCTCTTCTATCAAAGAACCATTCTCAAATCTCACATACATCGCCCCTTCTCTGTATAATTCCAACCCTTTGTCTTATTTCTTTTATAACGCACAAAAGCTCTTATAACTTCTGTTAAAGAACCTCTCTCAAATATCTCACATACATCCCCCTAGCTCTCCCCTGCATATATTAATTAGTAGTATAATGGATTCAAAATCCAAAAGCCATGAAACAGCCATTAACATATCTGAAACAGAGTCCAACAAAGGAAAATCAACTGCTGCAGCCACCATTGTAGCAACAACAAAAGCTATTCCTCATAATCAGAAGGGAGGATGGCGACGAGGGGTTGCGATATTCGACTTTATTCTGCGACTTTGTGGCCTTGTGGCTGCTCTGGCTGCTGCAACTACCATGGGAACTACTGATGAAACTCTTCCTCTTTTTACTCAGTTCTTTCAGTTCGAAGCTAGCTATGATGATCTCCCTGCTTTCTCGTACGTATTATTGAATTGTGTGACCATCTCATATACTCTCATCTAAATGTTTTGAATGCTAAAAGACACACTTTTATTTACTAAATATGTCTTCAACACTACACTAGTATTTAATTTGCTTAAATTTGCCCAATAATTAGTTATAGTCAGTTTTTCTCTTTTCTACTAATTTCTGATGTGGGATTTCTGAGTTGATGAAACTGTTATATATGATTGATTTTCAGGTATTTTGTGGTGGCAAATGCAATTGCAAGTGGATACCTTGTCCTCTCCCTACCTTTCTCCATTGTTTGCATTGTTCGACCACATCTTGTTGGCGCTAGACTTGTTCTGTTAATTCTTGACACTGTAAGCAGAATAAACAGACTTTTCTTTAACGTATTTTAGACAGCTTTTGATTAATAACAGGTAATAGATAAATTGAGAGACTTGTCCTGTTCAGGTGCTCTTAACATTGAGGCGTACTACAAGAAAAATAACATTACAGAAGAACGTAAAAATTTGAGTCATAGTTATCACAACATAAATCTAATACTACTATGAAAATCCTGCTAAGTGCTAACCAGTACTATCCATTTGGAAAATAAGGGGGAAACATGATGAATTGATTAATTGTCATTTTCACAAAAGATATAAGGTTATGATTGAAAAAAACGGTGCAGGTAATGGTGGCATTTACCACGGCTGGAGCAGCTGCGGCAGCTGCCATAGTGTACTTAGCACACAACGGCAATTCCACCACGCAATGGCAGGCGATATGCCAGCAGTTCGGCGATTTCTGCCAGCAAGTGAGCGGCGCGGTGGTGGCTTCCTTCATTGCAGCAGTCATCTTCATCTTCCTTGTCATTTTCTCTGCCCTGTCTCTCCGAAGGCACTAAAAACAAATGGACATTTGGAGTCGCCACTGTTGTTTATTGAATGTATTATTATCTTTTCTTATGTTATGTTGTGCTGCTCACTTTCCCAAATATTTGGATTTGGTTTGTCTTTCATTTTGATTTGTTGTAATGATGAAGTTGCATGCATACATCTGTTTTTGACTCTTTGGACGTCAATTTGCTTATTCATTGACTTCTCTAATACGGTTAATGAGGGTACCAAACAGAAAAATTCAAATCTAGATTGCAGTGTGTCTCTCCAACTTATTTTAACCAAAAAAGAAAGAAAAATGAAAAGTAAGAAGTTGGAATTATCTCTGGTGCATTGGAACCAAATTGAAGATGATTAGATGGATGATCTACAAGTCTATAAGCACAGGAAATATATACTGTCACAGTCTGATTAGTAGAAAGTAGAGAAGTTTTGAGCATAACGAAATCACAGAAGCCATGGCAATTCAAAATCTTCTTGTTTCCTCATACTTGGTTTATCTTATAACAATGTAACAGAGATCATACCTAATTGGCTTTACCAACCTATGGGATCTGACACGGCTAAACTCACGAGGTTAAATTTTTTAATTTTTAGAATTGGTTTTGTAGTCTATTTGGTTTCCTGCAAATTTGTTTTTAGTTCTTTGTCTTTTTTACCGGAGATCTTCGTTTTTACACGTAAAAAATCTGAAAATAACATACAAGAGATTTGGAAAGATTATTTTCTTTTATTCAAACTAGTATTTATACTCGGAGAATATTTTGTAGTATCTTGACATTTGGCTTAATCTTATGAATAACTATTTTTTTGTCCTAAAATTGCTAAGTGACTTTTTATTATGTTGCCACTTGGTTTAATATGATGTCTTTGTCTATCCTTTTATTATGTATAGATAATATAATATATAATATATAGATGCCTCCTTTAATATAACATAAATAATATAGATTTCTTATTTCGTCCAAAATATATTTTTTTATTGTTATTTTGTATAAAATGTATCAATATTTTGACTATTTTTTCTCTACATTATATGGAATAAACAATTAGACTTTTCTTCTATTTTATTTTCAATATAAAGTTTTGATTTTTACATCTTTTACTTCGTCCAAAATATATGTTTTTTAATTATTTTGTATAAAATGTGTCAATCTTTTTAGAATTTCTTTTCTATATTATATGGAATAAGCAATTAGACTTTTCTTCTATTTTATTTTGGATATAAAGTTTTAATTTTTATATTTTTTACTATGTTGCTTGTAATTATATCAAATTCAAATTAGACTTTTCTTCTTAAATTAAAATTCAAAAAGAATAACTAATTATTAATGATAAATAATGCATAATTTAATTTTATTAAAATTTAAATTCAAAAAGAAACTAACTATTACCCAAGCTAACTAACTTTGTCCTAAAATTGCGAAGTGACTTTTTATTATGTTGTCACTTGGCTTATTGTGGTGTCTTTGCCTCTCCTATTATATATAGATAGAAGATAGATTGTAAATGGCCACATGAGATCATTTCTTCCTTTCATATCCTCCATTTCTTAAGCGAGGAATTTGACATTATTTTAAGTTCAATCTCATCTTGGTATCTCACGTAAAACTTTAAAAATCTTCTTTCTTTCTCTTTTCCACACAATATCTTACAAAAATTATGAGTTTTTTTATTTATTTATATGGTGATTGGTGAAGTCAATTTAGTTAATAGATTATTCATGTTAATCTTTCATCTAATCATAATAAGTTTATATAGTTTGATAAATATACTAATGATGTAAGCATTTTATTAACCTTATCCATCAAGAAGAAGAATGTGCCAGCTCTCTAACACAAGCTTCTAATTAACTGAAAATATCATTGTGAAATTTGGTAAGTCAATCAAGGTGCTTTATCTTCTAGTGAAATTAACATGAGTTAAAAAAAATGAAAATATCATTGTGAAATTTGGTAAGTCAATCAAGGTGCTTTATCTTCTAGTGAAATTAACATGAGTTAAAAAAAAAAATGGGTTAGAGAGAAGCTCCTCCTTCTCACTAGGTTTCACAACACTCTCCACCATCCATGAACGTAGATGTACCACTCACCCATAGCCAACCAATATCCTATGCAGATACCTTATTACACAAAAATGTTCTGTCCTTACCTGCTATTACAACCACCTTATCAAACATTGACATGTCCGATGAAGAGATTGACCCCACGCCAGAAAATTCGATTCCACTAACAAGCTCTCACAAAGTAAAAATTTACTCTCCATGGCAATATTCCATAATAGTCAAGGTCTTTGGACGCAAAGTGGGACATCTTACTCTCAAGCAAAAATTACAAGAACTATGGAAACCCTCAGAATCTCTCTCCCTAATAGACCTAGGAAATTAATTTTTCTTGATCAAATATCAAAATGAAAAAAATATGAACAAAGCTCTTCATGACGGACTTTGATTTGTGTTAAACCACTTTCTCTCAGTTCGTCGATGGGAACCAAAATTTCTAGCATCAAATACCAAGCTCACATACACAGCCATATGGAGTCGATTACCAGAATTACCAATAGAAGTCTATGACCTCTCCATTTTTCAGAAAGTAGGGAACAAAATTGGAAGACTTTTAAAGGTTGATACATGTACATCATCTACCTCTCGTGGACGTTATGCACGTATTTGCATTGAAGTACCCCTCGAAAAGCCACTACAATCGCATGTGTTTATTGGCACTCATAGGCAACAAATACTCTACGTAAAGCTTAACATGCTCTGTATAACATGTGGACGAGTGGGTCATACATCAAAACACTGCCCCCACATTTCCTTAACCACCAATTCAACACCAGCCCAATACCCACATACAACATCTCTCATTGACAAGGAGCCTCACAAAGAATCTCCTACAGCATGAAAAATAATAGTTTTCCCACGAAGGCACCCACACAAGCTTAAAGGGGCCACTGTCGCACAACCTACACGCAGACACACATTTCAGCGACAAGATAAAAAGCCAACGAGTTCATCTTCTACATCAACAACACAGTCAGGTACGCCACACATTTCTCAATCTCTAATCCCTACTAACCATGGATTAATTATTTCACAAACTAACACTAAGGATGTTAAGTTAATTAATTCTTTTAATTTACTAAATCAACTTGATAGTAATGACCCGTCAATACCAGACCCACAGCCTACTAATCAGGCCCAACATCCACCAACCCAAGCCACCACTCTCAACCTTTAACGCCATTACACCGACCCATGCTGTCAAAAACCTAGCATACACCTTACTTACACACGTTTCACAAATGAATAATGACCTAATGGACACTACTCCATTTGCCAATAGATGCCACGTTACCTACACCACCCTCATCTACCATTCACAAACCTTTGTTCACCTGCGATAGCCCATCTCACCAAAGCCCAGACCCCTACCCTGTAGGCAATCATAAAGCATATTAATCCGCTCCCAAGCCCAATTCTGTAATAAGGCAGGAAACCAATACAGACATGCAAATATCCCCACCACTCTACAGCCCATGAGAGAAGCCCAAACAACAAGACTTTGTGTCTTACGTTACCTCATCACCGCCTCTCTCACCCTCTCCTTCAACTATTAACCCTGATCAATAATCATTACTCACTTCTACTCACACACCAAATCCAACAACTGATACTTCAAAACTCCCCCATAATATACATGTAGAGCCACAACACCCCCATCTTTCCCCTCAGAACAAACCAACAGCACCCTTCACTACTGCCTTTCCGCCATCTCAATCTCCACTACCTCACACCCACAACCATGCAACACCAAACACCACCACCACTAACTTACCCGGTGATCTACACTTCTCAAGCATCACACCCTTATAACCCACCACAATCATGGCTCGAACTAGGGCTCCAGAATCATGCGTTAGCGTTCACCATGGTAGTGAACAATCAAGAGGTGATAATCCGACTCCAAAATCCTCTAGACTTGGCATAAATTGCCATCGAGGGAATGACAGTTGTAATGACTCTATATGGCCAGTATCACTGGACAACCACACAGATGCCACACACCCAAACTTGGGGGATACAATGTATATAGAACCCTATGAGCCAATTCTACAATAACTCACAGAATCAAGCATATGCATACCTACCTTCTTACCCACCCACACATTCTCATATTCCTTGGTTTCACAAAGCAATACAAATGCCTCCTCCATATCCACCCATGTCCCCAATGAGCCCATTCGAACCTCTTGCTCCAACAAACAGCTCCATGAACCCACAACCATCAACTCCAAATGAACAAGAAGTTCTAACTCCTTAAGAAATCGTAGTTGTCATGGAGGAGATGAGGGAAACAAGAACGAAGCCAGTATGGTTAGGGGGCTGCCATATCTCCGTCCTAAAGGAGCAATACAAAAAAAAGATACTACTCAACTGCCCACCGGAGGTGACCAAGTACTTGATCAAACTACGACCAACAACGAATCCGGTGGCAAGGAAATTTGTCGTGGTCATCACCCCAACTTTGAGGGAGACCATGCAGACTCACAGCGAGGAGGGACAACCACTGGACACAGTGGCTCAAGTCACACAACCACTACCCCTACGTACTAACTCTATAAATTTTGTTATTTGGAACTGTAGGGGTGCACAGTCTCCTGATTTTCGTAGAAAGTTTTGCTCCATGTTAAACTACTACAGGCCGCCACTAGTGGTATTCCTTGAAACTCACCTACAGGACCATGCAATCCTCAGGGATGATTTTGATTTCTCTAATTTATCCCAAGCACCTGCTGAGGGATAGGTAGGAAGGATCGTAATATTATGGAATGCTTCAATTATTACAATTTCCGAAGTTGCAGTAACCAATCAAGAAATACACTACATGGTCCATGTATGTCACCACGACTATTCTTTCATGTTGTCAGCTATGTATGCAAGTCCTATATTAAATTATAGAAAACTTCTATGGCAAAACCTAATGCATATTGCAGATAATTATAAAGGGCCTTGGGTTATGGGAGGAGACTTCAATGATATTCTCTTCTCCAATGAAAAATTTAGAGGATGCCCCATTAATAATAATAGAGCCGACTCCTTATTAAACTGATTCAATTACTATAATCTATTTGATTTGGGTTATATGGGGAGTAAGTACACCTGGACGAATAAACGTAGACGCGGTGGAATAA